GGTTTTCTTTAATTAAATTCAAAAGCAAGCAAATCAATCAATGGTGACAGAGATCAGCACACCTACTGCTGGGGGGGATGTGACTGAGCGGGAGGAGGGAAGGTTTCTGAGGTGCTGGAAGCTTTCTGACTAGTGGTACAGGAATGGATCGCAGATGCAGTTCCTTCACTGGCTGCTCAGCAAGTAAGCACGTCCCTGTGTGTTAATTACACCTCAGCAGAAAATGTTTTTACAAATGCCTTTGACTTTAGGTTCTCTTAGAATCTATCAGTGAGCTAGCCTAGGAGAGGAATGAGCATTCCTGCAACCTGTGCCATCAAACATACCTGAGGTAGTAGGAAGCTGTTCGAGGCATGGGGATGAGCACCGATTAAAGGGCAAATAACCTAAAAGCCCAGTTACAATTCTGAAGGACCCAAAAGTATGCTCCTGCATATTTACTTACTTTTTGAAAAGATTTAATTTATTTATTTGACAGACAGAGATCACAAGTAGGCAGAGGAGGCAGAGAGAGAGGAGGAAGCAGGCTCCCCGCCGAGCAGAGAGCCCGATGCAGGGCTCCATCCCAGGACCCTGAGATCATGACCCGAGCAGAAGGCAGAGACCCAACACACTGAGCCACCCAGGTGCCCTGCTCCTGCATATTTAAAGATGACTCTACGCAGAAGTGGTTCACAGAGCGGCAAACCTAGTATGTCCGAAATCGGGCCAGTCCCCTCCTCTGCTACTCTCCATTTCCTCCTGCCTCCAACAGATCCATGAAGGGCTGACCATTCATTCAATCAGGTCAGGAACATAGGAATCGTCTTCAAATCTTCCCTTTAGTCAGCCCTCTCTCCCCGCAAACTGCTTCCCATTCTAATTCCCATGAGGTGATCCAGCCAGTCCTCGCCCCACAGCTGAAGCATCTCGGGTCTCCAGCTTGGCTCAGTACATCTGCCCCCTTCCTCGTCTCCACCTCCTCACTGGCCTGCTCTTTTCAAATCTGGATTTGATCATGTGACTCCTCTGCTTAGAATTTTTCAGTGGCCTCCTGCCACCTTTAGGCCCAGATTCAAATTTTTAAACATCATATACGGGACCACTCCGGGAACTGACGCCTGCCTGTTTTTCCACTTGTCTTCTTACAACTTTATATGGCCCACTGTCCTGGTTCTTGTTCTGCAAGCACTTGCTTCCTCTGCTCCCCACCCACCAGCTCCTGTCACTTCTAACAGCACCTCAAAACTCAGGTCCAGCACGATGACACATGGCGAGGCCTATCTGACTCTCCATACCCTCATTCCCAAAGTTTGATTAGTTATCCCCCCTTCTCTGTGCTGCCCTGCCTACCCCTCTGGGGGGTTAAGAACATCACAGTGGTTGTTTTACTCAGCTGTACGCCCAGAGGACTGGGACCTGCTATGGGGCAGGCACTGTCTTGTTGATCGAGTCTGGCTGGGTGCCTTAGTGATCGTGTTAGGAAATGCTGGGTGACAAGGGGAGGCATGAATGAAAGTTCGCACAGGTGCAGCAGAGCAAAACCATCACCACTGCTAGACCAGCCCATGATGGGATGAGTTACAAGTGTTACCTCCATTTTCAGAGAGATGGGAGCAACAGAAACACTGATGCTTACATAGCTCCATCTTGAATATGATTATCACCATAAAACATTAATTTCTTTTTTTTTTTTTCTGGCATGGTGTGACAGAAAAAAAATTGTTACTGGAACCAGTTAGTAAAATGGCCTTAACATACTGTTTGGCAGGAAATTTTACTCAGATGAATTTCGTAAGTGATTCCTTCATAAATGAATCAATTTGTGCTATGCATATTTATTGTGTCCTATTGCCAGAATCACATGCTATAAGATTTCAAGTAAAAATCTGGGCTTGGGGGCACCTGGGTGGCTCAGTCTGTTAAGCAACCGCCTTCGGCTCAGGTCATGATCCCAGGGTCCTGGGATCGAGTTCCACATCGGGTTCCCTGCTCAGCAGTGAGTCTGCTTCTCCCTCTGCCTCTGTCTACTGCTCTGCCTACTTGGGCACGTGTGCTCTCTCTCTCCATCAAATAAATAAATAAAATCTTAAAAAAAATAAATCTGGGTTTTAAGAGACAGGTAAAAACTCACTAAGGAGGCTGGATTGCGAAAACAATTTTTTATAAAAGATTTGGTATTCAAAATGATCAACTTCTAATATCAAAATGATCAGTTCCCAGGACTGACTTTGTCAAGAGCAAAGCACTTATAAATTTACCAATATAAAGAAAAGATGACAAAATTCAAGCTCCTGGACAACTGACTTTTCTACCATAAATCTTAATCTTCAACACTTCTGGGTCCTAGCTGAAGTACTAACGTAGAGTAAGGGAAAGATGCTGAATAAGACGACAGCTCTATCTTTATCCCATCAAAACAGCTCTCAGAACTCATCAGCCCTTAGGCCTTCCCTTATGAAAAGTCCTCTAGAGCACAGAGGCCCAGAGCCTGAATTCTGGAGCCAACAGGCAAAGGGCAGTGTCCGTTCTGCCACCCATCGGCTCTCACACCAGCTTCGTTGTGTCTCAGTTTTCTTCATCTGTGACATGGAGACAATAGCATATCTACCTCTTAGGCAACCGGAAATCTTAAATGAGTTAATTCATGGAATGTGCTTAGAAGAGCTCCTACAGAATGCTTACTGCTTCCTAAAGGGTCACATTCCCTGTCCCTAGTGTGTGGCTCAATACAACGGTGAACTAAGACAGTCCCCGCCCTACGGGGTTAGAACACACCAATAAATATATTATTGCGAACTTTGATAAGCAATATTAAGACCATATAACCTAGTCTTGGAATGATCAGGGAAGGCAAAGTAATCATCACTTAAGCCAGAGTAAAGTGCACTCAGAGCTAGCATGTTGCAGAGGTCCTCCATTAACGTTTCCCCTGAATAACAGATTTTCAAGATTGGAAGTTAAGGAGCATTGCAAAGTTGGGAGAGACAGGCCCTATCATCAGTGTTCCTGCAGTTTCTGTAATCCCACAGATTGTTAAGCACTTACAAGAGCAGGTGGCTTATTGTACATGAAGATCACGAATACAGAGTTTCAATGATTATTCTTTTATAACACTGAATAAAAGAGGTTGTAATATAAACTAAGTCTATGAAAATAAAATAATAAGCATAGCAAGCGCAATCATTAAAAATACATATTGCTAACTCTCGGCCTCACAATCTCTTCTGGAAAGGTCGCACTGTAACTGGGCAGCGGGTTAATCCAATTTTTATGACACCAAATTACAGGTTACAACTTCCTGAGCAGGTCTTTCAGGGTTTAACTTCTCTTGATTCACCTCGAAGATCAGGCTAATTAATTACTAAACAAAAATAGCCATGGTCACCATTTATTTATTGGGAGCTTATCATAATTCAGTGAGTACACATATATATTCAGCAAATCTTCATTTTTATGTGCCTCAGTTGTTAAATACCTCCTCTAAAATAGCACCTCCTTCCAGCACCCAAACCACTGGGTATTTTATATTTATGTTGCAAGGAAATTCTTGCACTCAGCTTATAAAACATGGGAAAGAAAAGCAGAGAAATTTCTGGCCAGAAAACAGTATTACTTTTTATGCCTCCGCTAAACTCAGGTCAATATTAAAAAATTTGAACTGTAACTAGAGAAAGGCCAATGTTGTAAAAACTCATTATTTTAAAAATACTTATAAGACAATTTCTTTAAAGTACTGGACAGTAATCAAAATGCTAATTCAGTAACGTGCTCTGCCTCCTCAAGACAGAAACGAGGCCCTCTGTAAAGCACCACTCAACAAGAAAGAAGAAATTATAAGGCAGGATAGAATCAGCAGCTCCCCCTGCTCTGAGCACCTTTCCTAAACACAAAATACACGCACCTGCGCAGTTTCCATCATGTAAAAGCCCCAATTCTCCATGGAGTTCCATTCTCATTCACATTATAATACCAACAACCCAGTTCTTTTAAGCATTTGTACAGATGACTAAAAACGTATGTGGTATAACAATCACCAAAACCTAAAACATCCCAACGTGAAATAAGCAAAGATGAGCTGGGGTATACAACTAAAAATATTCTTTGATTAGAAAAGTTTTTTTTTCCTTGAAATTTATTATTTAATAGGTTTTGGCAGTTATTATTTCTACCAGACTCAAAAAGAGTAATGCCTATCATTGCCACAAAATTCACAGTAAGCGTAATGTAAAAAATAGGAACAATAATTCAACCATTAAGTGACACAAAAAGAAAGAAAATGGAAATAAAACACAGAAACAAGAGGAAATACACTTGGGATAGAGGTACTGGAAATTCCCCTCTTGATAAAACATGTTTCCCACTATGAGTACAGGAGGTTTGTATGTTATTTCTGGTTGCAGGTAGAGTTAATGTCATCTCTAAAATGCCATCTGAAAGCACAGGCCTTGGTCGAAATGATGTCCCCGTTCCCTAAATTCACTGCTGTGAGAGCGACATGTGGCAGAGGGGAGGGAAAAGTGCAGAAATGGATTAACCCAGTGAGCTGGAAACAAAGACTTCTGGTACTAACGAGGTCCAGGGCACTAAGATGCCCTCATGGGAATGGGGAACTAGAAAAGCCAAGTCACTAAATTATGCACTACTAAACTCTCATCTTAAGGCAAATCAGATTCCATCATCAATTAGCTTATCAGTTAAAAAAAGGGGGGGGAACCCCACCTAACTACTACTACCACCATCTATAATGGCCAAAATCACATGGTACTTTGATCGTTACTGCTCCTCACCTTCTAGCTCAACAAACAGGGACTGGTCTGAATCTGACGTGTATTTTCCTTTACTTTGGCTCAACTGATCAAAACACAAACAATTTTCTCTTTAAATTGAGGTACAATTAATCCTTCTCTCAGGATTTTTACCCTTCATAGACTGACTTCCTACAGCCACTGTGACTATCAACAGTACATTTTAAGTTAAAACAGAAAAGGAAAGGGCAATTCAACCAAAAAATGTCATACCTAGTGGTACTTCCTGTTGTTCTTCAGCAGGGGGCATGTGCGCTTCTAAAATAAGAAAATTACAATCCATTACATACTGCTGACCAGTGTTTCAAACACAGACTGTATTTAAGTTATAGTGATTATTTTTACAGACATTTCTGGGATACGACTGCAATGATGACAAAAACATTAGGTTTTCACACTAATACAACAAAGAAGAGTTAGCGGTAACTTTGTAAAATGTTGTATACTTCTCAAGTGTGCTGTAAAACAGGCTTTACATCATCTGCCTAACTGACTAACCATGACCAAAACTCACTGCCTGGGCAAAGGAGATATGAACTAAAACCCTGGTCTTCACCACAGTTTTGCATCAGACTTGATAAGAGAGCTGAGGAAAGAGATCTAAAATATCTTGTTAAAAAAGTTTTTAATACACAACCCTAAATGCAACATGAATGAAACAACACAAAGAAATTGAAAGAGAGTCCTAAAAGTTAATTACTATCCTTAATAAAGTTTCTGAAAAATAATATTCAAGATAACATATTCTAAGACTGGCCAAAAATACGGATATGACTTTTTAAACATCTTGCCTCTTTCCCTGGCCACTTCAACCCATTTGCATCTAAAGAGACTGTAGATAGACCTTATCAAATAATGGTACAATAATATACTGATCTGATTCCATCGATCAAATTATATCACATTTTAAGATCTTCATATCTAACAACCCATTGAACATTACCTTAATCTAGAGATAAGATTACATCAGTTTTCCTTTTGCTCCTGAAGACTTGGAACAGACTTAGGTCAAAAGGAAGAATTTTTATAGCATTTTCTAAAACTCATATATTTATGCAGCTATTTAACTGTTTTTCTTCTTAAATTAATTTGCTTCTAATTTTAAGAATAATACATACCCAAATGGAAGATTTGGAAATATTTTTTACATAAAAGGAAAAAAGTAAAAAAAAAAGTCACCTATTCCCACTAATCACAATGAATATTCTGGCATATTTCATTGTTTTAGTGGCAGTACTTTGAACAACTAGCTTTCTCTTTTATGAACGGCTTGTTAAGGTTTGCCTACTGATCTCATTCTTAGTAAGTTAGAGAACTACTAGCACTGTATCACCCTTACCAGTATTTTTCTCAGAATTTCTTTTACTTGTCATTTTAGGTCTGAAAAACTTGTGTGCATCATAAAGTATTAATCACATTATTATTTCCATCACTGATGTTATACTAAGAAAGCCTTATTATTATTGCAAGATAAAACAAATTTTCAATCTGAAATTCAAAATTTCAATTTAATTTTGTTCTGAAAAAGTGTACATTTAACAGACTCACCTGAAATTTATTTTGGCAATAATATAATGGGAGGATTTTTTAAAAGGAAACAGTAAACTTATTATATCAGCACAGCCTGATCTTCTTTACTCTAGCACTTTTTAAACCCACTTCAGTATGGATTTCAACTCCCACCTTCATGATGATGGCTCCCAAACACATCAATCTCAGGTCTCACCCATCTAGCTCATATCATTGGCACAACCAACCCCCTACTTGATACTTTCACCTGGGAATCTCACATCACTCCCAAACTTAAAATATCTAATACAGAGCCATGGTTTTCTCCCCTAAACCAGTTTACTCTAGATCCTACTTTCGCCACCATCCTACAGTTGGTAAACGGCCCCATCATCTGACAGTTATTCAAACCAAACCAAAGTCTCCCTTTATTTCTCTTTACTTCACAACCAACAGAAAGGTCCATCAGTTATAATTCAAAAATATATCTCAAATTCAAAACTTTCCCCTCCATTTCCACAGCCACGACATTACTCCAGGCCACCATGATCACTTCCTGGATCGTCACCCAAACATTTCCTTACAGGGTGGTCCCTGCCTCCATTCTTGCCCCACCTAATCCATTTTCTAATTAGGAGTGAAAGTAATTCCTTAAAATAAGTCAAATTATGCCATACTTCATTTAAGTATTTTTCCCAGATTCCAACTGCACCTGGACTATAATTCAAATTCCTCACTAGGTCTTCCAAGTTCCCAACTGATCGGTCACCTGAATCTTTAATGCTTAAACCAATTCAAGCTTAGTTTTCTGTTGCCTGTAACAGAAAGTAACCTTCCTGACACAGATGGGGAAGTGAAGAGGGTTTAGGCACAGGGCTGAGATACAGCCTACCCTCGACTTTTGAATAGATCACCCTAAAGGTATCATGACAGATGGATTTGAAGGGGACAAGTATCTAGTTGAGAAGATGGGCTAGAAGGCTACTACTGCTGTCCAGGAAGGTGATGAGGGCTGAACTAGATCACCAGAGCCACAGAGGAAAGAAGGGATTTGATAAATGTTTTGGAAGCCCATCCAGCAATACTTGGGATTGATTAGCTGCAGAGGTGAAGGGAGTGTCAATGATGTCACTGTCATTGCTGGTGTGGGAATCCAACTATATATTGATACATTGAGCCAAGTCAAGGGACGGGGAAAGAGAAGGTTAGAGGGCACGTGAAGATGATGAGTTCCTTCTCACTGACCACTCAGGTTCCAAACACAGAAGCACAGAAACTACAGATGGGGCTAACGGCACACAGTCCAGAGCCCCATTGCTCCGCAAAAAGAATTTCCTTAGCAGTCTCCACTATATCCTCTACTGGCTTATCAAAATGCCTGTAGAGGATATAATGGTGACTTTGGAAAAGTCTTTGGAAAAACTACTTCAAACACAGGAAAGGCAGGGCCAAGATGCATACTGTAACGTTCTGCCTCTTATATAAAACAATATATGTGGGATGGGTTGGATAAAGTTCTTTCTAGGGATGGGGGGGTTTCTCTTTTCTGACTCTGACTGAATAAAAAAACAGACTTGGCTATATTATTCAAAGACAACTGAGTCACAGGAGGTAGGAGAAAATAGGAACACTATCCAGTCTGCTACAGGGAGATGAATTTGCATGTGTGCAGTGGTCACAGCAGCTGTGAAAGAGTCTCTGTCAGCAGCTAAGTGGAAAATGAGGGCAATTATGGTATCCCCACATTCCCCCACTCCTCCCCATCTTCTCCCATTTCACTCAACTGTACTATTAAATATTCTGCCTAACCAAGCTCAGAAGCAACAACATTTAACCTGAAAACTGAGAATGAGTGGCTCATCAATGAATTCTAAGAGTAATATAAAGAGCAAATGCCATATTACATGTTCCCTGTGGCAACTTCCTGCCGTTAAAGCCCATGGATCCCAGAGTCCACTGTAGGTCCCAAGTCTGGGTTGAATACCAGCTTAGCCACCCCCCCTCCCCCACCAAAAAAAGCGCAATAAATTGCTCTTCCTCTTCAGTGTCCACTGTGAGGAACAACCGAAATAACGTATGTGAAAGAACACTGCAGGCCGTTAGGATCTCTGTAACTCTACATGGTGTCGAAGCACCACCACATAATATAGGCAACAACTGTTTGGGAACAATCCTTCACTTTCAAAAATAGTCTGTCCAGCTGAACCACAACATAAAGAACCCAACTTTCAACCCATCCCTGCCCAAGGCTAACCCCGTCTGACAAAACCACCCTCGCTGAAGAGCCTTGCTATAACCAGTTATTTGCTATTGGACTACCCTGGTTTTAAGTTATTGCACTTTTCATAATCTGTAGTTACTTCATCATGTCTCACCACGAGAATGCCAACTCCAAGGAAACCAGAAATCCTAGCCATCGTCTTCATGCTCTCCCTCCTAGCCCCAAGCACCCTACAGACACCAAAGTGTCCAATACATGTCTGCTGAATGTGTGAACATAATTTTAATACAAAAAGTAAAACTATCTCTATAAAATTAACTTACCTTCTAAAATTATGTTTGAATCTTCTACAGCATTATCTAAAAAAAAAAACCAAACACATTTTACATTAACTCACACTAGATTCCTAAATTAACTTATCTCTACTAAGGTAACTAAATTTGGCTCTTTTTAGACTAGGGCCTTCTTATGGAGACTCATAACTCTTTATATTAGCGTATCAACTTTAATTCCTAAATTATATTCGAAGTATACTTCAAATAGGCTGACATCATCCCTAATGACATAAAACTCGCAACATAAGTACAAGGGAAAGAATATATTGACAATATGCAATTACCTCCTTGGAGACTTGAAAGTGTCTTGGATTTCTGACTACATCTGTCTTTGTCCCACAAGTTAACTGAGTTTTAATAAATACAAGGGGCGGGGGGCTGACTCACAGGAAACACCCATTTAGAGAAAAAGCTTACCCGAACTTTCTAGACCTTCATTTTCCGATGGTTCGTATACTAGAAAATACACAGAAAAAATAGTCCTTTAGGGCTACATAACTCACTGTGACACAACATTTGCTGTATGGTTTCATGAGCAGAGACAATGTCTAATTCATCCTTGAACACCTGGGACTTAGTCACTGGCAAGTGGTAGGCTATAGAGCAGGATAGGAAAGAGTCTGGTGTGGAGTCAAACACAGATTCAAAGTCCAGGTCGGCCACCTTTTAGCCATAGGGGATGGGGAAGAACCTTAATTTCTCCCATTTTACAAATGCTTTGTTCATGTAAAATGGGAGAAATTAAGGTTCTTCCCCAGTCACTGGTTACCAGGATCCAAAATCTGTTTAGTTCCTGGTGGCACTGAATTTCCCTTTTCTATCTTTCATGTCTGTGGGGGAGGATTCTGGGCTTTCACCAGGCAGATTCTCTGTTTGTTTAGGTAACAACTCTCTGATCTTCCACTGGAGGCAAACACTCCCGGTGCCAGCCCCTCAGAGTGAGGGTTCAGCTGGCAGGCCATGAACTCACTGCCCGATTTCTCTTATTTAGTTGCACGGGGCTCAGGGCTCTCTGCTTTGCTGAAAAGGAGGCTCTGGTCTCTTCTTTTGGGCTCAGCTGGGTCACACATCTTTCTTGGTCAACCCAACCCCAGCTTTTTCCATTCTCCAAAATGCCTCAAATTTTCTGGTTCACTTCGAGTGAGCTTTCTTATTTTCTTACCACAGTTATCAGTGTATTCTTTATAATCATTTAATAAAGAAAATTTTTTGAGCAACTACTATGTTTCAGATACTAATTCTCAGTGCTGGGTAGAGTAAGGGACAATTTTAATCCATCATCTTCTGTCCTTCTGGTGGTACTGGTAAGAGAGAGGAGCAGCACGTTTTTGCTCACTCTGTCACTTTGAACTCTGTTGTATTTAAACCTGCTCAAGACTCTACCAACTTAAAGAAAAAAAGCCCTTTCTTGAGCCTACTTCCCCTTGCCCCAACTCTCCCCTCCATTTCACAATCTAATTTCTTCAAAGAGTCATTCACATTTGCTATCTCACCCCTCACTTCCTTCCCCAAACACTGCCATCTGCTTGTGGCCCTGACTCACCCCTGCCAAGGCTCCTCAGAGACCACCTCATTCCATCTAATGGACAAGCTCCACCTCACCGAGTTAGAGCTTCCAGCAGCTCCTCCCTTCCTAAACACTTCAGTGTGACTGTATTCTCCTTTCATTTCTTCCTTTCTCCTCCTCAATCTTCTTCTTCACCTGTCCTAGTCCTACCAGGCACGAAATGTTGGCTTTCATTGAAGGCCAGCCACAGAGCCACCCAGACCCCTACACTGTCCTCCCTCCATAAGTGATCTCAGCCTTTGGCTTCAATTATCTTGTACAGACTCACCACTCCCAAACTCACAGCCACGAATGCGAGTTCTCGGCTGAGATCCAGGCACCACCAACTAGGTTATTATATATCCCCCTGGATGTGACAAGAGACACTGTCAACATGTACAGACTGGACTCACAGCCTCTTGGCCCGTTCCTGTTTTCCAGTCCCGCCTTAGGGAAAAAGCACCACCATCCATCAAAGGCATGAGCCGGAACGGTAGACGAGGTTCCTGATACCTTGCTCTCTGCCCCAGCTACACCCACACATCATGCCCTGTCAATTTTTTCTCTTTACATTTCTCATCTTGTCCACTTCCCTTCACTGCCACCACCCTGGTTTAAACTACTTTATCTCTGTCCACCTTCATCTGTGTCCCTTGACAACGGCTCCGGCCAAGGTCACCAGGGGGCCACTGTCAAACTAGATGCAATGCATGTGTTCAGTGCCTACCTCGCGTGGGTCCTCAGCAGCATGAGACACTGCTGAACATCCCTTTGCTGAAACTCATCTCCTCTGACTGCTCTTTAGGCAGAGATGGGACCCAGGGCAAGATCGGATTGGAATAATGGCACTAAACTAACTGGTCTCCCCATATCCACTCCTGTCTCTCTCCAGTCTACGTGCTACATGTCAGACCGATCGATCTTTACAAAATGCACATCTGATTTTGTAGTGCCTCGAACAATGCCCTGAGGGTAGGTGAATATGCCTGACTAACTCTAGGCGTCCTCTGGACCCCAAACAGTGCAATGTCAGCGCAGATTAGACTGCCAGCCCTCCAGACCCATCTTCGCACCTCAGAGGCTTCTTAAGACATTCCGCCCGCCCACCTTCCCCTTGCCTTGTCAATGGCTCTAATCTTCCCTTCCAACTTCGGGGACGCCTTCCCTGGTCTACAAACTAGGTAGGTCTCTTCGCTATATACTCTTGTTACACACTGTCCTTGTTCTCACCGGCACTTAGTGCAATTTCAAGTAAACACTAAATTGAAGTTATTTGTGTGATCAAACCGTGTGTGTTCCTCGCTAGAACTGCTCCAGTCCTGTTTCCTGTTTTAGACATAAAGTAGTTAATACGTATGCATTATATGAATAAATCGATCAGATGGTAAGCCGGTACTGTCCGATCCTAGGTATATCCAGTGTAGGCTTAATGCTTTCTAGATTTTCAGCGTGGAAAGCTGGTTCCCTCCATAGCTTTAAGAAGCCACTGGTTTTCCAGGTTCTACATGTAGGAAGTTTAATATGGAATATATTCTGTTCACCTACTGAAAAATGGTTTTGTTTTCACCCTACTTACTACTCACTTACATATGTTCACTTGGCTTCCCTAGTTCGTTCCTGAATGCCACAAAGGTATCTTGTTAGAACACTGTGAATAATCCTAGTAATACTTCTATCAAACCTCTTTTGTTTGAAAAAGTTCAGGTTCTATAGCAAAGTAATCTAGGTATCTCAAAATCTTGTGATCCAAAGTATCTCAAATCTTGAAGACCCCTTAGGTCCTATTTTATTACTCTTTTTTAACATGTTAAATTGTGCTTATTCTGATACTCTATGAAAACACACTTATTTTTATAACATCTTTTTTTAACACAGTATCTAATTTTACACTTCTTTCCAGTTTGATTTTAAGGTTCTCTGGATCTAGTCTGCTAACTGCCTTCCAAACATGTTCTTCCTAGCACATTTAGACAAACACTATAATGAGTGGCAGAAATGAGAAAAGTATCTCATCTCTACACATAACTTTTATTTCCAAATTTTTGTTCTCTCCTTTAAATTTGAAACTGAAAAGAAAATCTAGATCCAATCATACTGGCCAAGTTATTTAATTTCTTATAAAAATATTAGTTCTTCAAGACAGAATCCAGGATGTTTCCAATGGCATCATTCATACTCCATTACAAATAGCCACTGTGACTAGTCATCTTTGTAGGGCCTTAAATCTTAAGTACATGTCCTTAATAAATTAGCATATCAGGTTTATACACAGCCAGTCCTAATTTTCTTCAATGGAGAACCACCAACTGTCATGAAACCATATATTTCTTGAGAGTAGGGACTCCATATTGCTCCTATTTGAATGTCAAACCATTCACCCCCAAACCATCAGCATGCAAAGTCCTCTATATCTGACGCAAGCACTATACATTTCTCCGTCCTTCTTGCTTCACACACGAAGTTATGCTCAACTGACTCTATTCCTTTTACAGAGTCATCTATGAAGGTGGCAGAATAAAAATGATATACCATTGGCTTTATCATTTCTTAGTCATATTATTTTATGCAAATTACTTACATTCTCCGAACCTTATTTCTTTCATCTCGGAAGTCGCAAAAAATAGAATCTACTTTGTGGAGTTTAATAAAACAGGCTGGGGAGTGCTTTGGCAACAAACTGAAAATATAAATGCCCAAATCTGAATCTAGTGCCACTCATAACAAAAACATGCCCAAACTCTTTTGTTTATGCCACTTTTAAGCCTGCAGTGAAATTCTTTTGTACTTTTCTTCATGCCAGTAGACCCATCTCCTTTAAGAGTGGGATTACTTTGTAGAAGAAACTAGAGTAGTTCAACTTTCACTAGTTTTCTATGCATCAGACATTATGTTAGTCGAAAGAGAGCTAAGACTATAAAGTATGAGATAAGTTTTCATGAATAATTTTTAACTGCTTCTGAAGGCAACTTGAAAACAGTTTAAGAAATTATTTAGTCAATGGCCGAACCAATGGGGGAGGTAAACAATCTCCCCAAGTAAATTCTTTGAAAACTCCCATCCATTTGGAGATTTTCAGTTACAGTATTTGAAGCTTAAAACACTACCCTCTATAACTCTAAAACCTATGAGTTGACTTAAAACAAGTAAATGGCTTAAGGTTGAGAAGCATTTTCAAACCTGGTTCATCATAGTCTTGGTATGTAAGGTCATCTGCAGAAAAGATAATAAATAAAACTCAGTATTAAACAGGTCATTCTATGCAACTGCTTAGCTAAAAAAAACACAGCTTAATCTCAAATACAGAATTCTGTTCTCTTAAATATCAGTGTCTGTGGTCAATGATAGGTGCCTCTGCCCCAAAAACACTAGACACAAGGACAAGTAAATTATTTTCATAAAAATTCTTCAAACTGGCAAAAAGTAAGATATGCAAAAGTAGCATTACAGATTAACATCCTGTATTGTCATGGTGCCAGTGTAGATGAACTAAAATATGAAAGCCTGATACTCTTTTCATAATCGAATCTTGTTACAAAGCGAAAAGACTTGTATTAGGTGTTAGGATTCCTTCTCTGACTCCTTTGAAAGAAAAATCACTTTAACATAGCATTACAACCATAAAGCCTTGAGTAATGTTTACAGTCTAATGAAAATATTCATTCAGTACCTGCTTCATGGTACCTTCTTTCATCATCACCCACTACTGGCTCCATGGAATCTAAAAGGAAAAACATATACACCTTTGTCAAACGTGAAAAAACCAAACACATTACTAGATGCCATTCTGAAGTATTTACAAATTAATTCCAATTTTCACAACTGGGTGAGATAGATATTACCATTATCACACAATAAAATTTAAGCTGAATAAAGGTCCATAATCTGCTCTGTCAGTCACAAAGACAGGAAGGAACAAAACCAGTGAGACTCCACTACACCACTCCGCCTCATCAATTCCCAAATTGCCTTCCCAGCATCCTGTCTACAAAGGGCAAAGTCCCAATGGTGGTTTGAAAAATACAATTCCTTTTTCCTCATTCCTCCATGTAATATTAAACTATATTCAGGAATTTCTATAAATGTCTGGGCAACCAAAAAGGACTGTGAGTATTATAAAGAGGACTCTGTCGAATCTGAGTGAATCATTAACCCCGGGGTAGAATGGCCTTGGCCAGTGCCTTAAACAGAAACATATCACAAACCTGGATTGTCCTGCTCATACATCATCTCTTCCATATCCTGATTATAAACCTGTGAAGCTGTAAGTTAAGAAATGATTAGGAAATTACAAATCTATCTCAAGAAGGATTGCACTTGATACTCAAAATAGGAAAAGCATAATATCCAGAGTGACAGAAATGTAAAATCAAATCATAATGATGCTCACATTTATAGTCACCCAGGCACTCACTTTGGGAAATGCCGAACACAAAGATGAATGAGACAGTCCCCATCATCAATGGGTTTATAACTGAACCGCAAACTGGTGAGGCTATAGTCTCACTTAGATTATACAAATTCAACTATATTCAGCCAAAGACTAATAAGACAGAGACAGAGAGAGAGACCAGAGATGGCGGGGCAGGTGAGCCCTCCTCCCGTCCACTCAGCAAGCACCTGCTGCAGAGCGTGCCTGAGGAAGGGCACACACGCCCCAGCCCCTCACCCTTGGACCCAGTACCTGAGTACTCCCAGATCGCAATACAATTCTAGCATTTGTTGAAGCGATATAGGTCCTCCATGCCAGCCAAGGATATCATGGGGTCCTCAAGCACAAAGAAAGGGATCTATTCTAGCACCGGAAGAAAAACTGGCCAACACAGGTTGACTGAGAGATGACATGTCCATCTCCAGTGTGGCCATATCTTCTGGGGATGCGTGACTAGTGACAATACACAATTTTGACCTTTCTTTGACTTTGTAATTTAAGACTACAAACATGTACTTCTACTATATCTCTTGGCCTAGCCATCCCATTACAGTGTATTTATCTTCAGGAGTAGACTTCAAAAGCTCAAAAACTATATTCACAAAGAAACATATAGATGAAATTATGACATAATATATCTAAGTTATATATAATTAACTGTATCTATATATTTTATGACATAAAATATATTAATAGATAACCATAGATAATGTTTTCTCTCATGATGCTCTTTTTATAAGAAAAGACTCATTCTAATTAAAAGAATAGTATTAAGTTTAAATCTCACCTGTCTCTTCTACAGGGTAACTATCTTCAATTTCTGAAAAGAATAACACAAAATCAATATTACTACTTTCATCAAGTTGTATGCATATATTCTGTAGATTTAGATCCTGAATCTATGCTTGTCATTGATTTTATTCTGAAAGCAAATAATTATTAAAATAAAACATAAAAAAAATCCATTAACTGTTTGCTAAACACTTTATCTTCTACTAGAACTACACTTAGAAATGCCTCATTCTCTTCGACCCACTCAATGCCACCAGAGCCTGGACTAACGAGAGGATGATTTGAACAGAGGATCACAGTGACAGGCCTGGACCTGGAAAGGGGGCTATCATGGTCTACTTCACATTCCACCATGGTGCCCTGTTGTCTAGAGCAAAAGCACAGTCTACAGGTGGGAACACAAGGAGAGACAGAGGAGACTTTCTAAGACGGGGAGCTGAAAGGTAAATGGTTCGTAACTGAACCCGCCGTCCCCCAAGAGCAAAGGGCTGCTGCCACAGGATTCTCACCACTCCACTGAACCTCGTTAATTTAACAACTACATGAAGTGAGAGTATTTTTAATTTCTGAAGACTATCAATAAACAACTTTTAAGTTCACACTGAATCTATGTCCTACCTCTTATCCAGATCCTCTGCGGCATGTGGAGCTATGTTGTTGCATGGGTCCTGATGCAACTTAACCATAGACTCTGATGATTATTATATGGTGGAACATAATGGGCTAGATGGTTGATTTTGTGTGGATGCTCTCAACCTTTTTCTTTAGTTTTACTCTTTAGAAATGAAATACCCATCTCAAACTATGTTTCAGTAGTATTCACTTTAGGTATAAAATTATATACACACAAATATGTCATTTATATACTTCTATTTTCTAAATAAAACATCATGAATCAATCAGAGTACAACCTGTGGATTAAAATCTTTCAGGGCACCTGGCTGGCTCAGTGGGTAGAGCACGTGACTCTTAATCTCAGGGTCATGAGTTAAAGCCCCACATTGGGGAGAGAGCTTACTTTAAAAATAAATTAATTAAAAAGTTAAAAAAAGGATCTTTCAACACCTCATTAAAGTCTTAAGGGCCACCTTAAAAAAGATCTGAGAATATATACCATAAGAACAAAGCATGTGTGCTCATTTAATAAGGCTTCAAATAAATACTCATGGTAGTGTCACATTAAAACATAGCAGAACACAAAATGTATGAAAAAATGTTTTCTTCATCAGAGAAATTCCTTCTCTCTATAGGTTCACAGTGAATAACTGTACCTCTAACTTGCCTTCTGCAGATGATCCAAGGTAAGCTACTCAATGGATTTTTAAATAACCAGCATTTAATGGAAGACACTGATACAGAACAGATATCAGCAAACTAGGATTTTTGTACATAAAGTTTTCCTGAAACATGGCCATACATATCCCTATACCTACATATACCTAATACGTAGGTATTATTTAAGGTTACTTCTGCACTATTGACGGCAGAACTGAGTAGTTTCAATAAAGGCCATATAGTTTGCAAAGCCTAAAATACTGACCCTCTAGCTATTTCCAGGAAAAATGTTGTCAATGCCTGGTATAGAAGCTAAGAACTGTGTTCTATAAACTGTGACTATGGAGTTCATATTAGAACAAGAGTCTGTGACAGATTGCCAAATAAAATATTTCATCAATTTTCTGAATTTCTTCTGATACATGGCACTCCAGGAAGAAAGGCACAGTAGAAGCAATGTGCTAAAGCATTTCACTTACTTTCCATTTCTATAAGGACTTCATATATTCTGACAGTTTCCTTAAAAAAGTGCTTTGAGGGGCACCTGGGTGGCTCAGTAGGTTAAAACCTCTGCCTTCAGCTCAGGTCGTGATCCCAGGGTCCTGGGATCGAGCCCCACATTGGGCTCTCTGCTCAGCGGGGAGCCTGCTTCCCCCTACCCCTCTCTGCCTGCCTCTCTGCCTACTTGTGATCTCTGTCTGTCAAATAAATAAATAATTTAAAAAAAAAAGTGCTTTGAATCAAAATCAAGATTTCTATTTATTTTAGGGAAAAAATTAGTTTTAATTGGACTTCCCAGCTTCCACTTAAAAAGAAACTTCAGATAAAATTAAATTTTTGTTTTAAAGGCGTTTAAGAAAGACTTCAATAATCATAATCACAAAGTGACTGCTGGGTTTCATTCTGAAACCAAAAGACATTTCCTACCTTCATGAAATGTTCTGGTCTCCAAGGGCTCAAATCCATCATCTGCATCACTTCCTACGAGGAAATCATCATCTTCCAGCTGTGGTTCTCTTGCTTGTCCAGCCTCTTCTTGCTGTACATCATCATCCCCTTGAATGGTCACAACGAACAAAGTCACATGAGTCCACACCAAGGGCCCAGAGGCAGCAGCTGACACGGACGCGTAAGCCCCTTCCGAAGTCCCTGCCCCTCGTCTGGGCCATCGCACATACTGTTGCCCGCTCTGAGCCTCTGTCCTCACTCTGGTCAAGTGCTAGTCCACCTGAAGGGGGCAAAGGCCTTCTCTCACTAGAACATGAACTCACCAAGCACGGGGACCTCATATATTTACTTACTATGTACGCCCAGCACCCAGGGCCTTGCTTAGCCATAAGAAATGCTCAGTAAGTATTTAAGGAATGAATAAAGGAATTTCTAATTGCTAACGTATTTGCCTCTTCAATTATCACCAGGTTAGAGAGAAGATCACCTTGGGACCGCTCACTGAGAACTGGTCTAAAACTCCACATACCAATCTTAAGTAACTCTATAAAATGCTGTGTTGCGAAGAACGGCCAAACACCTCTGTCAGCTGTATGCTAGGTCATCTGCATGAGGTCACATGTACTACACTTTGCATCTAAAGGTTGCTATGTGGAGCCTATAAGTTACACAGAAATGTCTATTCTTCTCTTCTGAGACGAACTTTTATGATATCCTGAGCTGTTCTGCTTCTTTTGTGTAGATGCTGGATAAGCTACTTATCCCACCGCGATACAGTTTAGCCTGTCGTCGTGGTGTAAGAAACTCTCCCAGCAGTAACCTGATGCGGTTTCAAGCAGAGTATGTCCTATACATAACACTCCAGCCAAGCAACACAAGCAACTTAGCTATGCTCACAGGGCCATAAGGGGCTCAGGAGTGTGGGGTCTCGAGCGTGTGGCTCCAGATCTGGTTTTTCCACATCAGCTGTGACACCCCGGAGAAGTTACATAACTACTTTGTGCCAAAGATTTTTCTCCCATAAAAAGGAAATAGTAGGACTCCCTACTTACAGCATTGTTGTGAGAATTAAAGCATTTGGACAACTGCCTAGACCACAGTAACCACTTAGGTGTTACTGTTCTTGTGTTATTCTTGTTGTCATCGTCATCATCATCATTATCATCAGGTTATTGCTATTTCTGCTGCCACTGAACTCTCCTCAAACACTGCAGGAAGGCCTCCTTCCCTCACCTTTAGCATGGCGTAGCGATGTCCTCTGCTGGTACTGAACTGTGTGGGCCCATTTATGGCCACACTATTTATTTGTTTTCTGTCTTTCAGTCACAGCCTGCTACGTTGTTTCTCCTCATTTCAAGTTTTCTGCTAATCGGCAAACCAATCACCAATTCTAACTCCTGTCCCTGATTTTACCACACCCCCTCTTCCATATTCTTTTTTCCTTACTCTTACGTTATCCAGGGCAACTTCATGGTTTTCACATGAGCAGGATTTAACTCTTGGCCACTGCTACTTAATGGAAAGTCCCTGTTTTCAGTAGGGAAAGCAACCGAACGTCATGCTTTATCTGAGTCTCCCTTGCTCTGTCAGTGACAGCCCAGTAAAATGGTTCCCTGAAGGCTGACTACATCTGAGGCACTGCCAAGCCCTCTTCGGCCATTATTGTAACCCTAGGAAGTAGGTACTATCGTCCCCCTTTGAAGGACAAGGACCTTGAGGAACTCGGCTAAAGCCACACAGCTAGTACATGATAGCCAGAGGCCCCGAAACACCACGATGAAGTGCAGAACGTGCGGCCAGAGTCTACGACAGAGATGGTGCTCAGGGAGGCCATGTTTCGACCGGAAAACACACACACACCAGCTAGAGATAGAGCAGGTACAACGGTCTTGAGGCAGACAAACTTGGCAATCACAAAGAAAAGAGAGCATCTGCACTGGAGGAAACTGAGAGGAGAAAAAGAAAAAGAAAAGGTCCCCATAAGGCATATCAAACACAAACCCAACTGGACGCCTCTGCAGCCATCATACAGGAGGGGACAGTGACGCTGCCACACTGCGGTCCAGATGCATGCTTGGAGGCCAAGCTGGAGGGACCTGCCCATTGGTCCCATATGAGGCAACAGGAGGAGAGAGAAAAATAAGAAAAACTCCCCAGTTTTTAGCTTAAGCTACTAAGTAGGGGTCAGACCATGACCTAAATATAAAAGAGTGGAATAAAAGTACAATTTTAGGGGGTGGGGGAGAGCTCTGAAATGCAAAGGAATCGAGAATTGTGTTTAAGTCCATTTTGAGTCTGAGATGACCATAAAACACGCAAATGGAGATCAACAGACAGTTGGATAAGCCAGTAGCTCAGAGGACATAGGGCTGCAGATATATACTCGGAAGCAACACAAATTACATTTAAATCCATGGCCTCTGTGAATTTCTAAGTAAAGCAGAGAGTAAGTCCAAGAGGAAGGCTTGCGGCCAGAAACCCAGGAATGCTAGACTTGATTCCTCCCCCTTCTGTCTGGCTTCCTACACCCACCCATCCAAATGTCTACCATATCGTCCCACGCTTCTCTCTCCCCACCTTGGCTAAATTTGGTTCGAACGACCATCCTGACCCACTCAGATCACCAGTAGGGCCCCCATCTCCTCTTGCCGCAGCACACTCCCTCCGCTCCTGTTCATGGGCAGACAGACAGCACAGCGCTCCCTAGTGCCCTCCAGTGGTTCCGATTCCTCTGTGAATCAAGTACAAACACCCTTTGCCAATCACTCTCCATCTAGGTACTCCACTGGCCGGCCACCCTGAACTACCCTCGGATCCTCTTTTCCTCTGGGCTTGCCCACGTGCCATGCCCTTTGCTTGGGACCCTCCACGAACAACACCCACCTGGCAAAGCATGACCTTCAGCTATTAAGTCCTTCAGCTATTAAGTCATAAAATCACCTCTTTGGGAAAGCCTTTGCTAATGCCAACGTCTATGCAAGGCCCACACAGAACCATTACAGTTCATTGTTACAGCACTGAAATCCCTGATTTATTTAGACTGCATCATCCTCATGTTAGGTTAGAGTTGAACCAAAGATGTAGGAAGGGAAAGCCCGGGCTTGCCCAGAGGGGCAGACACACGCTCAGAAGCAGCAGCTCTCTTGGCTGAGTAGAGAAGCCAGTAATGCACAGACACGGGCTCCTAGACCCCAGATAGCCAATGGCAAAAACCCCCAGCTCAGCTGCAGACGGTCTCCCCAGCAGGCACAGACAGAGACGGTTGGGATGCTTTACACATAACATCCAAACACCCAGGACTGAGGAAGATGGTTTAGCACACCTGCTAAAGCAATTTCAATGATAGAGAGTCCCAGTTGTTTTTAAGAAACATAATTTTTTCCTTTAGGACTCTCTTCAGCTGACATCAAACCATTAGGCATATCAGGCTACCATGTGCTCTGCCTTCTTCAAAATCCCTTTGTGAGTTACATCTTGGGGTTATACGCTCTGCTTTTATCAAGGGGTGTTTCGAGAAACAGGCTCATAAAATCCTAAAGCGTGGGTTTCTAAAGTATCATTTAATATTCTCTGTACAGAACTGCATGTAAGAAATGCTTTAGATGTAAGATCTGGGGAAATGTTTTATATTCTCTATGTAGATAGCATGTTCATTTCCTCCCTGGTAATATGACTGATGTACTTTTTGCTCTGGCGACCACCCAAGTGTGCAGCAGGTTTGGCGGCCGACAGCAGCCAGATAGCCCATTACAGCTTGCCTGGTTGTGTTCTACTTTCCTCTTCCCTGTTCTTGCCATCTGTTCTTGATGTATCATTGGTCTTAACTCATTTCTTCTTATTTATTCCTACCATTTCTTTATTAAACTATGTGATAAGTTCCTTAGCATTAAGGCGGGAGAAGATAAAATGAGTCCAGTGCTCTCTCAGAAATACCTGTCTCCAATAATTAAAAAAAACACACTCAGTTATGACTTAAATTTAAAAATCATGTCAAAGTCACTTCATGTAATTAATTACTATTTGAGCAAGCAATGCATGAGAAAATGGGTTTTAATTCATACCATGTTCTGTGTAGACTGACTCATGGAGAAGGGGCTGAATTTGCTCTTCTACTTCATCTTCAATATTCCGAGGTCCTAAAATGATTACAAAACATAACTAAGTAGAAAAATATCTAGATATTAATGAAGAACATGAAACATGACATCCAGGTACACACATTTCAGTGACTATATTTGGTTCATCAACTATGCTACCTTTTCATATTCATTTGCCCCCTTTTTATAAGTTGGCAAACACAGTAAATATTTAAGATTGGTTTTATTTTGACAGAATATATAAATGTTTAGCAAACACCTCACAGAGCAAAATTACTTGTTTTCTAATTAACAAAATTCACAATCATGATAGAATAAAGAAAAGGGGATGGGCAAAGCTTTCAGGAGGGAAGTACTGGGAAACAAAGATTAAAATGTGGAAGATGAGGCCAATATACACGAAAGGGCATGACCAGTCACTGTCTTCCCTGACAGTCAGGAGAAAGGGCCCCCTGGCTAGTGTGAGGACTGAGAGGGTCAGAACTGAGAAGACCCCACGTGAAAACTGGCAATCCTTTCAGCTTTGGAGAAGCCCATCCGCCAGATCCACAGATTGAAACAGATATAAATTACAAAAGTCAACACTATCAGTTAACGACATCCCGACAACACTGTGCTGCTTATTGGATTACCGGGTTTGTTGAAATGTGGCGCAACAAGTAAGAAGCTATAATGACACTGACACTGTGATAAATTTTCTTTAACAAACATCCACGTTCAGTAAATTAAAGTAGCGCTAGACTCAGTATCATGCATGCTGTCACAGGAAGCAATGCCAATGACATCAGTTGGTTACCCTGACGTGTTAATCCTCGATGACAAAAACGGAGTAAACTCCTTTGAACTGCTTCAGGTAGGAAAAAGTTTAAGAGCCTGTTAGCCTAACCACATTACCAAACCATTCCTGAAGCACGGAAAGTACCTTCTATTTTTATAGATGGTTATATGGCACAAACCACGTTTATATGTATTTACATACAATTACAGAAGAGCCTGCCAATCTCTGTTCTTCCCTCCTCGGCTCTCACAATGCCCCTGAGAGCTTCTAACCAATTCCTAGCTTCACGACTGCTGACAGCACCATCCACAGAGAATCTAAGATTAGTAACTAGAGTGGATGGCACTCTGCTCTTTTGCTTAACCCTCTAATAGCTCCCTCTGCCCGAACAGAGGAAAATCTAAGCTCCTCAGAACAGAAGACCTCCACAATCAAGACCTGCTCCCAAGCCTCTCCAGAATCACCTGCTACTAGCCCTGGCTTTGAACTTGGTGAGTCCACCATGCTGTTTCATCTTTCCATGATTCTGTGATGTTCCTCCTTTCCTCTGGGGAGGGTTAGTACAGGCAGAAGCTAGACTGTAGTGAGTTAAAAACTGGGTGGAAAATAAGGTGAAGAAAGCTATTGTAGATTCTTGTTTCATAAATCTGGCTACTACAGGGCCGAGGACTGGAGGGCAGATACAAAGTTCTGTAGGGACCAAGAGAGGGTTTACTTTATTGTGTTGTAATGAAAGGTATGTACCTGGGTTTGTAGAACAGATAGAGAAGAGAAAGAAGCCAAAAATCTAGATAGTAGAAAGGTTGAAAGGCAACATTTAAACTAAACCAAACATTGCAAAGAAGTTGAAAGGATATGAGTTGATAATAAACTGATGGATTCAGAAGGACAAGTTATCAGTTAAATGTAGAGTAGTATTAAGAAAAATTTTTAAAAAGGAGAACAGAAGTAAATGGCACATTTCAGAGTGGGTTATTAGCTTTGAAAAAGAAGATTTTTAAATTATAAATTTATTTAGTGCAACGTAATGTTTGAGATGCTAAATCCAAATACACATTTAATTATAAGACTTTTATTTTTTTTTAAGTAGCTCTTTTGCTTGAGTTGTGGTATTCTGAAGGATTGGGAGAGAGAGATTAAATTCCAGGATTATGTTTTGAACAAATAAAAACATCAGAGCAGCACACTGATCTTAAAAGGGAGAAAAGAAAATCAAATATTCATACAGTGATAATAAAATTAGAGTACTGGAGTTGCCAGTAAATATGTAGTGTCATACCAAACACTTCCAATAGGTGGCAAAATGAAACCAAATTTGGGAGAATGATTAGTTAAAGGGAAAACGTGCAGCAATTAAATCACATTTTGCAATACATATCACAGCACAAACAGGAAATGACAGTAATAGATTTCAGTATCATTTGCCAATAATTTATTCACAGATTTTAGGAATTTTCTTTCTGTGGGTCACAGGCCCTTGGGCGACTAAGGAGATAACTGAGTTTATCTATGAATTCATGTGGATGTACAACGGGCCTCCACAGCATTACGTGGGGGTCTGGGAAGTCTCTGACGGAGAAAGGGGACCCTCCTATTAGAAAGACTGGTAGCCCAGTAGGCCTCCATTAGATCATGGAACAATGACGACACTTGTGTACACTGCATGTCTGACTGTGTTTTCAGTGCAAGAAGTTCTGGAACCGGAGAAGCCCGGCATATAGTTCATGGTGTTCCTAACTGCTCCTCTGTGCCTTCGATTCTTGATCCCCCAAATTAAAATTATCCTGTGTAAATTTTTACCAGAAAATATTAAGTTTACTTCAAAATCTCAGAAGAGAAGGAGAAAAAAATACATCATATTCCCCTAAACATCGTGACACAAATTATGGGTAAAGCAGCCTTCTGGAAACAGCTGGCGGCACGGCCGGCAGCAGGAAGCACATCTGGGTCGGAGGTGGAGGAGCGCTTACCTGAGTCCTCGGGAACCTGCTCCTCCAGCCACGGGTATGGCTCAGCTTCTTCAGGTGGGACTGTTGGCTTTGAAGCAGATCTTTCTTTAAGGCCTGCATTTTTATTCACAAAGTTAACTTGAGTTTTTTTCCTTTCCTTTTTTATTTTTTTTTAACATATTAAGCCCGGAAAAACAATATTCTCAAACACTTCATCAACAGTGCAAGTAATTTAGTTTTCAAGACTTCGTACTCCCTGAGAATGTGGAGGTGCTTAAAATCTGAAGTCGGAAGGCAGACTGCTCTTTAACCTCACATGGGCCTTGACCATCTCTTTACCTAAGTTAACCTTTCACTTAAAAACAATAAAACAAAAAATCCCTGCTTAAGCGCTCACGGATCTCTAAAATAGTCCTGTGTATACTTGCCAAAAGAAGTTCAATATGAGTTCAAGCTCCCCGTGTTCAAAAGTGATTAATTAATTGCTGTTTCAGCTCTGAATCCAGCTGCAAGACAACTAAGATACACCTGAATTTGTTATTTGTTTCAATGCCCTATTTTGATTTAGATATAATTACCTGCTCTTCTTAAAAACTATAGTTAAAAATGAGAATCAAATCATACATAACTATTTACAGTCTTCTCAAGGTACCACTTACAATCATATTGTTCTATAAAGAGCTAAAAGACATGCAAACGAGGTTTTTTGTTTTTGTTTTTTTAAACGTCTTAAGGAAAATAAAACATCGGGGTAAATGAACATGAAAGCTGATTTTAAAAGTCAACACCAGTCTATATTAGACTAAATTATTTCTTTGATATTCTATTTGAAGAACATTAAAATCTACCTCAATTAAATACAACTCTTTAGAAAGCTAACCCAGGTCCCAGAGTCTGTCATTTCCTCCACCAGCTCCTGGCTCTACGTTAACCCCAGCGAGAATCTTGTACCAACAACTGTTACCAGAGGAAGTGTGTCATGCACGTCAATGACCTACAGTGAAAAGGTCAGTACAGAATTAAGAGGCATTTTTCTTCTCTCAAGCTCTTCAGACCACTCTTAATGTCCATATGCTATTGTGATCTGCAAAACTCTCAATTTCTTTTACTTGTTTTTGATTCCTTGTATTTTTCCTGACTGTTCCCTTCTCTTTTCTCTCATTGGCAAAAACACACTCCCACCTTCTTCTCCCCAGTCCTAAAGAAAGTGAGACAGAGATACACAGAATTCTACCCCATCACTTATATTTGCTTCAGTTACTTATCTTCCACACAATTTACATAAAAAACCTGACACTATCAAAACAAACACCAATGGATACAGCTGTGTTCTACTCCTACCAAAATAGGGACTTCGAACTGTAACGTAGACTCCAAAGGGATCATACACAAATAACCATGAATCCTAAATGTAGTTCAATTTCAGGGGGAGATGGGTAGAGACGAAGGCCTTATTAATAAAACCCATTACATTTCAAAATTCAAATTTAGGATCGAAAACTCCCATGCTCTTTCCCATTTAAATAATCCCTTCCTCAATAGTCTCTCAACTGTTAAAGGAACAGGTATGAAACTATTCATTGCTACGTTCTGCTGAATGAATAGGGTAAACCTTCCAAATTGTGTCATTGATTTTTGTACTCTCAGCACCTCAGGAAATGCCTGGCACATAACAGGTGCCCATAAGCACCTGCTAGAGGGCTGAACGCCCCCAACAGTGAGGCTCCTGAGGTCTGCGGAGATCCTCTGTGACCAGGGCTCCATGGCAGCACTAGAGAGGCGAAAGGCTATAAAGGTGGGAAAGGGGATTCAGAACAGTTTCCTACTGTTATCAAAGAGATTCTTATCTGTGCCCGGCATCCACCACTACAGCCCAGGTTCTGTCCGTTGTGCTGGAATTGTTATTTCTTCTTCAGAAATATCTCCATTTGGATGAAAACTCACAGGTTCATTCTTCACTAATCCTTGATGCAGCAGGTTTTCAAATTGTGCTCCGTGGGTTCAATAAGCAGTGAAATAGTTCCCCACCAGACAATAAAGATTTAAACAGCCTGCAAATCCCATTCTTATTAGATTTTTAGGCAGTTTCATTTGAAAACAATTTTTGATGTGAGAAGTGTTTGAAAACTACTAGCATACCAATATTTAGACATATGGTTCTCCTCGTTTTCAGCCTTCTCTATATCAGCTGGAGTTATTTGTCTCTAAAATTGAAATTGTAGAACTACAGGAGAAAGCAAAAGCATATAACAAGAGAAAATATTGAGCAGTTTTCTTTCCTGTCGAAAGTGGCAGCTGAATTGTAAATTTATTGGTACTTGGTCACAGCTATTTCCCAGAGATGAAATCAGCATTTAAAAGTAAACAGTCTTGTAAACTTCAAAGCAGCTGAGGATCACATTGACATATCTCCTTCCCTAGATCCCCATTACCTTTCTAAAGTTAAAAAAGAAAAAAAAATGCATTCTAAACTAATTCTTACTAGTCTGCTAAGCCACAGGGAACAATTAGGCCTATAAACTTTCATTCTGGTGTTTTGAGAAATTATATTGCCACCCAAATCTACTTTAGTCCATGAATAAGTGTTCCTCAGGAAACAGCAGTAAATCCAGGTTCATAAAAGATTTTAAGGCAAAAGTAAAAATTAAACAAATATATATATATATATTCCCCCCCCAACTAGTAATCAAAGGTTTTCAAACTGGATTTATGACGAGGTATAAATGGTAAGGAGGTAGTCCTGAAATAAATGTTCAAAATTACATTATGAAACAAATGTCATCACTTTTGATGTTTCTGGGACTGCATAACAAAACACCGCCTCGCACTAGCTCCAGTGAAAAGGAAATTTACTGTCTCATCTCCCAAGGAGTGCAGAGACAGGCAGGCTCGCTCTCAGTGCTTAGTGTCACCCTTGCGCCAGCCAGGCCATCAGGGCTCACCCAGCTGCAAGCTCCTCTATTGGACCAGAGGACATCCAGAAACAAAGAACCACCTCTTCCTCTGCTTCTCTCAGGACGTGAGGAAATCTTTGCTGGAAGCTCTTCTTTTCAGCTTTTAGAGTCAAAACCAGAACCCACTTCCATCCCTAAGCTGGCAAAGGGAACAGGATAACCATATTGCCTGAAAGTAATTATCTAGGGTTGAATGAAAGTTCCAAGTCAACCACAAGAGCCCCTGCATGATTTGAAGAATCAATTCATTGCCTTAAAGCATACCTTGTTTTTGGTTTTCTGGGTGCATCCGAAAAATTAGGAAATTAGAAAGAAACATGTCTGCATTTAATAAGTATATAACTTGCCAAAAGAAGTTCAATATTTTAATTTAATTTATTTTTTTTTCCTACATTTTTCCTACAATTTTTAATTAAAAATGGAAGGTTATAAAGTAAGTGATGTGAGCACTTCAAGTCAAACATTCATAGCCAACTTGACTATCTGACAGTTACTTTAGTCCAATATTACCTTACTTCTTTCACTGCTACCCCACTATACCCAAGAGCAATGGGAAATAAATGTATTTTCTTCTCATCTGTTTGTAGCAGTTTAAAACTTACTAAATTGCATGTGGCATTCATTCACTCAACAACTATTTAGCACCTACTAATGGAAGGCACTGCTCTCCAGAAAATGAACACTGAAAAGCCCTACTTCTCATAGGGAGGGAAAAATTTAAAAAATAAGAAACCTGAAATATTTAGAGAATATTGAACAGGGAAGATATGGGACAGGGCGTGCCAGGCCATCAGGGAACGAGGACAGATTATCTATAGTGAATTGATGAAGAAGGGTCTCATTGATAAAATGTGAAGAGATTCCTGAAGGAAACCAGGGATGTGGCCCTGTGACTTTTACCGGAAGAAGGTTCCAGGTAAGGCTCTGGACCAGCAAGTACAAATTTCCCAGCTGGTCTGGGGTGAGCAGGTGCTGGGAGCTATGAACAGTCATGTGGCCCGTGCAGCTAGAGAAAAGAAGCAAGGGCATGAGAATCAGAAAGGCCCTGGGGCCACTGGATCGTGGAGCTATTCACTCTGGCTGAAAATAAAGGATTCATTTTTTCCTAAGGGTCTGTACAAACCACTTCCTCAACAAAATCTGAGAAAGTGAGAATTACAAATAGGACTTCAAAGACTTAGCCCGTAAAAGCGAAGGCATTTTAAAAAACTGGTTTATCGATCTTTGGCATACAGATTCAGTAGTGTAGAGATTGAAGAAAATTTTGATCTCACCTACCTAGGTTACTCCAGATGCTGAGATTCAAAGCGGAAGAGCTTAGGACTGCTACTGCTTCAAATGCAAGTAGTCTGACAGTATAAATTAATATACCCCAAGAATAACCCTAATAGGTACATGAACTTGAGAAATATTCTGGAAAACCGAAAAACCAGAAAGACGCACATACTGATGGACCACACTAATCGTCATTGCAGCTCCTTGCTTGTAAAATCAGCAAATACAGATCTTTGCAGGTATCCCAACTGCAGCCCTGTCAAAATTCTGAACCTGTCAGAAACTTAAAAAGCTGCCCCATGATCTACCGTAAGAGCCATTCCAGATTCAAAGCGTCTTCACGTGATCCAACATAGACAGACTGCCAGAAGAGGACGACCTCAATCTCAGAATGAAATTGCCAAAAGCACTTCTAAGACGCGGGTTTCAGGACCGCTAAAGAGTGTCCACCAAGACTGGAACTCAGTGGGCTCGCGTTAACACGTGCAACACAAGACAGAAAACAGGAGCTCGGGTTCACGCACCGAAAGGGTCGCCACTGAATTCCACCTGAATCCCATCTTGAGCACACTACCACTGATGCAGCCTGGCTATCCTCAAGTATGGGAAGGGGATAAAACTCTCGTCTTAGAAGGCAAGAATTAAATGAGAGAGTTCAAATCCAGCAAATACACACCCATTTTCTTCCCACAAATTAATTTTTCCCTTCCTTTCTTCCAGAAGAGCCGAATTTACCACCTTCCCTGCATGCATACAACATGAACACAGCGATCGTCAACGTCCCAGTGGTCAAAGCATCCTGCAATCACAGAAATGCCTACACCTGTCTTCAAAAATCTTTTTTCTTCTTTTTAGTATTACTCAATGGCATATACAAAGCTGAAG